GGAAGCTGACGATTTCGTGGGCCATTAGGGACAGCCAAAATAACGCCGCCTATATATTCTTTTCTTACATATATACAAAGTGTCTGACATCAGAAAAATTGAGACAAGATGGGAAATTTGTGTTTTTTTTCCTCATCGTCCACAAAATTTCTCGTAATTGTACTGGAAATTACACGTGATGGCGAAGAAAAAGGATGGATAAAGATAGTTTCATGTTTGTTTCGATAAATAATGTAACATGCGTGCTATTAGGTTGATTTGTGTGTCTGTGTGTGTATGTAAATAAGTCCAAAATCAACTAAAAAGAGCCAACAAAAATCGAAATATAAGAGGGAACAAGTAAATTTGTGGCCTCACGCAATGGATTTATACATATGCACGTCTCAAATTACAATTATCAGATTGGGCATTTTAATTTGTCATCTATCTCCAGAGAGCGAGCGCCAAGCGTGATGATAATTCATGATTTCCTCTCTTTCACGAAAACATTTCACGTCACTATAGGTGGTCATCATCAGTGATTAACAAGTTGAAATGTGTCTATAAAAACGATTTTGATTTGAACGCAATGCATTAATGGCAATTTTACTACTCACGCCGAGTCGAGGACGGTATGCTTCGGTGGAAAAGTGAGAAAAGTACTCCTACACTGAATGTCCCAAGCGCTGGAGCACCATTGGGAGTTGTTGTGAATCGCTGTGATTTGAGGCATGCTCGAGAGTTGAGAAACAGAAGATAAGGCATCCATTAAATCAATTCGATAGAGTGCAGATTAATTTTACGACATGGACCATCCAAATTTCTCCCTCTTCCACCGTACGGCAAAAGTCATTGATTTTCCTTAATCCTCTAGGGTTCACTTACAATCAATTTCACCACTTACTAGAACGTGTGTCATTTTTACACACAATTTGCACTGACATTCGCATTGTTCACAATGCTTAGCTTCTGTTTCCATTGAGCTACAATCCATTTCAATAAAATAACACCAATTTTGATCGAGAGACTGCAAATGACAGAGATAATACTATTTGTTTCAATTTAGCATCTATAGATAATTGAGAATTTGCTGTAATAGCTTCCGGACTTCAGCTCATCAATCATTTTCATGAGAATATATCAATATTGTGCTCTATAGAGACAGACTTTTAACCTATTTGACAGAAATTTTGTACAAATTACTCTAGAAAATTTACAATAAAGTCTATGTCATTCCCATTTCCATAAAGTTAAAGTCATAAAATCTTCTGAGTGCTGAGGAAATTTAATAGACATTTCTCCCACTTAGTTTGACAAACCTTTCACCCTAAATTTATTATAGTTCTGAGCAAATGTAAACCTCCAAATTGTAGTTGTTTTTACATATTTTCATTACCTGTAAGCATATCTAAAAATACCCATTTGCATTTAATGGACTTTCTGGGATCACATTTATCATGCTGGCACTTTATTTTGAGTGAATTACTGTAAATAGCATATGTCACAAAGTTCAATTAGGTAAGTACATTCATGGGTTTTGAGGGTTTCGCGTTAATGTGAAAATTGAGGTCCTCGTGGCAATGAAAGTGTCTTTTGGTGATAAGATGCTTTTATGATTTTCTTTCTATTTTTATGTGCACTGTTCGTAAAAATAACTGGGACAGAATAACAGTTTTATATGCAACATATTCGTAAAGAAATTCTGGGAAAAGAAAGCATTTCTCCTCTGTGAAAGGATTGAACAATGCTGTCATATTAAAATACATTCCATAATAATATGCGTTGTTCTAAAACCTAAAACCTAAGAGTGTGACGATGCGGACTATTCTATCCGGTGTAGTGAGCAAATGTAGACCATCTGTCTGCATACGTAGTCATATTTTCCTTCGGTACACTTGAAACTTTTCATCTATCCCAAAAGGGGCAACAATTACTCGTTAGTGACAATGAAAGTTCCTAAAGAATCATAAATGTATAACTTCTGGCTGTACCGTCACTTCCCATTCTCTTTCGATCTGATAAATTACGGAAATCTCTCTCTCTACTGTACATATGCATGTCACACTCTTCAGCATATATTTTTCTGTCTCAAGTAATGACTCTCGGACGAAAGATTTTCCTCCCAGCAGAGTTTATTTTTGGAACCAGACGCAACTATGCGCAGAGATGTACATAAGCTGGTGACAGTGTGTGTATGTCTGGTAATCAGGATGAAAGCATATGTAGGCAGATTTCGCAAAAATCAACACAAGAATGATAATTAGTGGCCTCATAAGTGAAATGCTTCCACTCCTCATACATTGACAATATACTACATATTGTACACACATCGCAGCGGCACCAACAATTCATACATAACATATCCGCGGTATTTTTAGTCTCCATCGCGAATATCTCTTAGACATCATTGTCTCCCCGATATTGCCGTCTCATTCACACGTTGTCTTCTATATTTGGCGAAAATACATAGAACATTCCTTCAAAAAAGCATTTGAAACGCCTATGGGACGCTAAAGATATTTCCAATGTATAATATCGTTCTATTTCATGCCCACGAACAAATTACAATCAATTTATGTGTGCAATAAAAACACAATTCCGAAGAGGTCATGGAGGGCGTGCAAAGACACCGCCTCATTTGAAAATTATTTAATACCCTATTTAATTTCAATATTGAGACAATTCCTCGTGAAGTTTTCACATTGATTCTGATAAATTCAAATTATATTGCTTGAGTATATTTCCTGGACGGATGTCAACTCATTTCACTCCAATCAGATATCATTTGATGGTAGATTGTAAAAAAGAATTGAGCAATTGTGGCACTATACTTAGAAAACTCAGGTCTAAACGCCTTCCACTTTACATACAAGAGTTGCTGCGTGAGATCTAATGCAGAACATGTCGCCATAACAAGCACTCTTAATTGCATTTCCTTCAGATAATTTCATTTCGATTCCAATTACCTTCACAGCAATTTAATACATCACATCTGTAGATATAATTGCACATTCACCGTTGCAAATTAATGTAAAACTCCGCAATTCACCAATACGTGACAAGGTCAGTATTGTTCGAAGGAAAAGAACATTTAGCCCAGCGGAAAATTTAGGATTAACTGTTATGGGGCTTCTTTGCATCGCGGGCTTGAAGGGCTTCATTCTTGTCGAGATTCTTCAGATTGAATTTCTCTGTGGCGTGTGGGGTAAAAAAGTAGCAAAAATATTCACCGCCAATATTTTACACAGGCATGAATGTGTGTTGGCTTTTTCCTGCGCCAGCACATCTTGTGATGCTGCCGGCTGCAACAATCAATTGCGCAAAGCCTCCGCCGAAAATTACTACTGGCGACTTTTGCGTGATGAATGCTTGTGAGAATGGCGTGGCAAAAAAGCCAGAGAGGGTCTCTGGAGGACATGGGCTACATATATAGAGGAATAGGATGATGGCACAGAAAAACGAGTCCGATATGTCGGTGTTGTGGGGAGAATTGCCGAACGAAACACCTTTTGCGCATGGGATGGAGTTAATCGGATCCACTGACCCCACAGAGAAGGATGATGGTGCACTTCTGGGATCACGATGATGTGGAGATGCAGAGGCAGGTGTTTGTATATTATGAGGTCCAATTTGCAAAAGGCGAAATGAGAAAGAGAGAAGACCAGCGCGCATCTCATGTTACCACGAGCAACGATGATGACGCTGAGGAACCTGATTCCGCAGCCTCTCGACAATCTCCACGGTGTTGGTCTCTTCGGTAACCGCAGCACCACGTCGCCCAGAAGTCCTCCGCTGGAGCACACGGAGTCTCATTTTTCCAGAACATCCACTCCAGCGCCGCGCTTGCGATTGCATCAACTTGATTTTTTGTATCACCTTCTTATACATCATTGACCTGGGCATCATTAAACAACAAACAACATCTCACTCCCTGCACGATGGCTCTTGTGGTGCTTCTCGCACGTCTCTCTTTTCACGTCAACGCTGCTCGCTGCCCATATCTATGCTCGAGACTCTTCATATTTATTAATATTTTACAGTCTCCCATTTAACTCATTTATACGCTGTGCCTTCATCGCATCGACAATTTCGAACTTAATTCAGAGACATTTTTCACCATCAAGTAGAAATTTAAATACGAATATTGCTGCCACATATGGTATAAAAATGTTATTTCCACTCATCTATTTTATATGCTGGCTTCGCAGGAGCAGCAAAAACGCCTTTTTATCTTCCAGTCATTGAAAAATCTCTAGAAGATAACACAGCTCATTTACTGTGCTATAGACGTTTGTGAGATCACGAAACTAGAAAACCCTTGTAAACTTGGACAGCTTCTTTGCGCTGTGATTCAAAGTGTTTAGCAAACTATTTCAGGGCAAAGAAAATCATTCAACGCTAGAAAATTGACAATTTGACAAGATAGTTCAAAATGTGTATATTTCTGCCAAAATGTAGACTTTACATTTACTTAAAAAATCATTACTTAACTATTCTGAGCCGTCAAACGATGACAATATCTGTCACTTGCCTCAAATCATGATTCATCTTGAATCCAACAGCCAGAAAAAAGTGTATTTCGTCTTCCATTCTCAATCCACCGTCTTCAATTAAATTTACTTTGTGGTGAATAAAATTTATTGTTGATATTTTGTTAGGAATATATATGGCAAAAGACATGGAATGTTTTGAAGAAAGCGCGCGCGTAGAGGCGACAACGAATCACAAAGGAAGCCAATAAACTTTTTTGTGTCTTCACTCCATAGTGTTGTTTCACCTCCAGTGCGGAGAGTGTAACAGTATATAAAATCGAAGATTTCGTGAGAGATGGTCAGAAAAGTGACAATAAAAAATTGAAGAAGCCAACAAATTATTTCTCGATGAAATCTCATTGGGGACTTATCATCTAATATCTCTATATATGGACAAAAAAAAGTTCTTATGCTCCATGATCACGAGATATGTTGCATACCTATGCAAGCGCGTGTGTACTTTAGTATTTTACTGTTCTTTTCACTTACTGTGTTCGCCTAAATACTGCTAAGAACCATATTATCCATACGATCTGAAAAGAAAAGACATACAAACGCTAATTAATATATTAAATAATTAATTCCTTATGTTTCGGTGTTGTAAATTTGCCACGTTTTACAAGGATTTTCGTTTTAAATTGTGATCTTTCACAGATAATCATCCTGACTTTAAGAATTAATTAGTTCAATGTCTAATCTTAGCTCGCAACACAATTTGTTGAAAAATATCGCGCTGCAACTCAGTGTGTATCAGAAAATGAGAAATCCAGAGAGACTAAGCGACAGAGTAGAAAGTTCAATGATCCATATTCGCATGTTATATCAGAGTTTTTTATGTCTTCTTCCCAATTTAAATTTCAAATTTTGTGTTTTCTTCAGCGACGTGTGATTTTCGCCTAGAGTCATCAATCGAGATCTTGACCATGTAATGAATCTCAAGATGAGAGGAAATAAGGTGAATTTCAAACGAAAATTTGCCATTTAAAAATCCCGTCTCCATTCCCTGAGTATTTGGGCTGCGAAATGATTAAAAGGAAGGAAGGGCGGTGCGACCAGTTTGGCATATGTTTCCCAGAACAAGTTTTTATGAAAGGAAACATAAGAGAGACACAAAGGCAATTACATTGGATGCTGCTTAAAGTGAAAATGGTGTACAACATGAAGTTTCGAGAGTGCTGAAAATACATATTGAGCATGTGACTGTTACTCTTGCGCACCGCATCAGACCAAATGGAGGGAGCGAAAGGGAAAAGAAGGGCGATAAGTAACTTATTGAGCTTTGAACCAAATCGCAGGAGAGAGCAAAAAAATAATACTATATGTAGATAAGCTCTTTACATTTCTTTCATGCTTTTTCATTCTTCCTCCGGACTTTTTTCCTTGTACTCTTTGTTGCATGTAAAATTGGATTGTTGATTTTTCGTCTCCTTGTCATTAGAACTCTCCTCGTGGCTCTGTTCTTTTTTTTGATACATCTTTTTGCTACTTCCACAATCTCCTGTGATGATTATTTGGTGATGTTTTTCCACCACACTTGCAATTGGTGGCGAGAACATTTTTCCGCTTCTCTTTTCTCGTAGAATTTCACTACATTTTTTTGTATTAAGTTTCGCACTCACACTTGGAATTTTTTTTACTCGCGATATTCAAATAACAACAACTTTTATTAATCCCCAACCGCCAGTGACTTTTTCTCTTTATTATAGTGCTAAAGGGTGACAGAAACTCAGCAAAGTGAAGAGATTGAACGGAGAGAAGAGCAAAAATGAAGAAATTCAATAAAAAGCAGAACTACGACAAAGAGAAGAGATTGATGAAAAAAGCTCCCGAGAACCTGAACTGTATAATTTGTTCTCGGTCTTTTTCCACTATACTACATTACCATAACCCAACATGAAACATTCTCGAGGAGACTTTCATTCTCAGGAAATCATTATTGAACTGAGGCCATAAAAACAATTAAATGAGAATTCTTTGATGCAATCATAACTTTCTATCTCCTTTAATAAATTTCAAATACAATCAGGCTCATACATATCACAGAGGGTTAAGGAGATCGCTTTTAAGTTTTCATTTTTACATGTGTGTTAAATTCTCCCTTAAGACGATTTGATCCAGAAAAGTGAAAAACTTAAAGAGATCTCTATTGACGCCAAGTAATTCTACGTCTAATTTAGATGTTTTTCAACTTGAGTCCTTATTACACCTTAACAAATATAGACATTAATGGTAAAACAGGTACGAAAGGTTGAAAAATGGGTAGGAAATGAATAAATTATCAAATCGAGAAAATGAAAACTGTGTACGAAGACAAGAGTGGCAGGAAGAACATTTATTATTAAGACTTGAGGACAATTATTTTCTCTTCTCATTTTCCAACGTCTTTTATTATTTCGCTGCAGTCGGACGCGTTCCGATAAACTCGTCCGAAGATGAGATTAAATCATGAAATATGGCCATCAATGATGGAACAGAGCTGTTGTTGCAGGATAAGAATACACATGTTTGTACATATTCATGTACACATTGTTAGTGGGGCAAAATTTAAAAGACACCAAAGAATTCTCTCGTTAGTTTATTTACTGCATTTTTCCTCATTCAGTAATATTTAATGAGGGCACGAGATGTGCTACTAAAAACCGATATTCAACACGTCATAATTCACCGAGTTCCCTTAAAGTGATTAATACATATCTGCGTAGAATGGACTTTTATTAATTTGCTGCAGCATCCATCCTATTAATTAAGCTTTCATCGATTGTCTCGCAGCTCCATAAACAGAAATCAATCATTTTGGGACATGTTATAAATTTTTTATTCATCATGCCTACATATTTCATTCCTGGAAGCACTATTTAAATATTCCCTCTATGCGCTGTGTACATTTTTTGTCATGACGGAGTGTTCATTACAGATGAGAGGAAATATTTTATATCTGCAATGAATGTCATTTGGGGTTGAGAATAACACTCGCACACCAGCCAAAAAAAGAATCACTGAATGCATGGACATAAATGAGAGAGCATCCAGGATTATGGGCGCGTATTGTGAACAAAAACGCAAAGACCGCATCTCCAGATGTTGAATTAATGGGGTCGAGACGGTTTGGGAAAAGTCGGACTGCAGGATCCATTATCGTCACATCAGTTTGACGATGGAAGGGCGCGCAAAGAGACCGAAAGAGCCTTTAAGAAAAAGACTTAAATGTCGTAAAAATCGACGGAATAGCGTCATAATAAAAACAACGAACAGAGACTCTCCTCAAATACAATCATGACTCTGCAATATTGTAATTAACTATGTGTAGTGTCATGTGAATCTCTCTGTCAACAATTTCCTCTCCACATTTTCGACGCTCTCGTGAAACCATCGTCTTTTTTTCTGCATCCTAAAAACATTCTTTCTCTATTAGACACACGGAGAACCGCAGAAGCCTTGTTAGAGCATAAAAAATCATAGACGAAAACCACAAAAAGTCTTCTCGAGACACACCAAACTTTGGTTTCTTCGGCACAACTGGAAGTCGTTTGTAAAGGTGAAGCGAATTTGGTCGGTTTATAGAAGTGAGAGAAGTAACACTATGAGAAATTTCATGTTTACAAGTAGTCAAAATGCAACCATTCATAAGATTTCCACAGATTCCTCTATGATCTTACAAATGGTCGCAATTGAACCCGTTTCTCAGTGTGTATCTTGTCTGCTTATTCACTTTTATTCTTCCCTATAAGTCAACTTTTCCCAGACTTCTCTATTTCCATTGATCCGTCAATTGGGCGAAATATTGTGCTGACGAAACACACAGTGTGTAAGTGATTAATGTACATATATAGTACATTGTACAAGATGTTAAGAAAATTCGTCGCCATGGTCACAACGATGGGAACTCCGAGTTAGTTTCTCATGTTATCCAAGAAGAAAGGATGAAGTGATGCTGGGATGATGCGATGATTAAGCAATTTGATTCTCTTTTCAGTTTAATTGCTGAGTTTACCAGAGTCAAAACACCAATTTGAGGCACAGAAGTGACTCTCTCACAGGTAGAGATGGTCTATGATTGGGACAAAGAGGTCTCGCTGCTTGATTGTGAATGGTAGTTTGAGGTGTGGAGAGGTCAAAGTGGGTTATTTGCAAGTGTTTTGTGTCTAAAGACCGATGACGATGAGAAGTAGTCCAGGAAACTTGAGAATTGTGTGCTTTTCTTCTCTCCACTCTCGTCGCTTTCTTTCATCCCCCAAATTGCTTCTTCCAAAATGGGAAGTGCGCAGAGTTCATTCTTTTACTCAACCAGCAGCATATTGTGCTTCATCAGTTGGTGGCTTTGGCGGAAATACCAGTAAAAAGGACGTTTATGTTCGAATGATGGATTTTTAATGAATTTTTTATGTGTTTCTCAAGAAGAAAAATGCTGCTCACATAACTTTTCTCAATGTTTACACAACATCCACACTGGGTGGTGGGAAAGGAAGAAAATCTCCAGCGTGAGGTCTAACACAATGTAGCAACAAATTTTAATATGTTCATTTAACTTTTTCCCAGTCGTGTTTGAGCATTTTCCTGAATAGCCACAATAAAAACTTTTCCAGCGTCAAATACTGCACAATTTTTATTCAAATTGTTTATGTGGCATTCTAACCAAAAATGCTCCATCATAGATACAGATTTTTTTTGCGTGCAAAAAAAAACAAATGTTGGACATTCAGGAAGCGCGCTTCGTCTGAAACTATTGAATGTAAGTGAATTTATTTGCTAACAAACCTTGCTAAATTGCCAATAAATATTACTTTGCCTGTCATGCGTTACAGTCACATAAAGTGGGTATGAAAAACCCTCAAAATTTTTTTTTATGACAATGTTAATTCTCGGAGAGTTACCAACACTCAAATCTGCGAGGCCCATTCATTTCTGATTGGCCGTCATTTTTCAGCCATAATTTTGAGTGCTAAAACCACAGAAAGCAATAAAAGATGCAGAACTGCGCAAGTGTATGTAAATCAGATTTGCATTCATGTATGCGGTCATGGTGTGGACTTTACCATGATAATCACACCTGCGGATAAATAAACCAATCCACACACTGGGCACTGGGTAAAGCCAAAGCTCGGTAGATAGAGGAACAAGTTAATTTCAATATCTCAAATACAGATCTTATAACTTCTCTCTGGTCTTCTCCACAAATTGGGATTGAAAAATTTACTTCAGGTAGCTCAACGAGCCCTTTTTGTGTTCAAATACAGGGAGCGGCAGAAATATAGTGACAAAGATGCCTAAAAATGTGTCATCAATAGATGAAGATGTGAAATATTCTCATTCACAGAATTTTAAAATCAGATTTCTCTTTAAATTAGCAGCTAGACTAAACTGATTTTTTTAAATCCACTTGATCTTTGCTTTGTGTCAAAATTTGTCTTATAATGTTGAGTAAATCCTGCGCAGTGATGTGATCAAAGCCGCACATCATCTCTAGAACGAATTGAGCGGCCTAAGCGACACATTGATTTAAATGCCGAACTCGAGCGGAACCTCCTGCCAGAGAC